TGCAGTTTGAAAAAAACGTAGGTTCAACCATCGATTAGGACGTTTGGGGGGGTTTAAAAATTGCTTCCCGGGAGGAGGGTTGATTCTGGCGGGAGGTTGATTCTGCTGGTGGTAAGGGGGGAGTATTTGGGGTTACTTTTTAGACCACAAAAACGCATTATAATTGTGTTCTTTTCACTTTTTTTTTGATGAGAGCAATTTCTGTTATACCAGTCAGAGCTCATTTGTTTTTTATCTGAATTGTTTTTGACACTGCTTTTTTCTGTATATCATTGTGTTTACTGCCTTCGGTAATTTATGCAAAACTGTTAATTTTATTTTACTTGGAATCTTATTTAGCCAATTACATTCTTGCAGTTGGATTTAATTTTAGTTTTAACAAGGGTGGATGTGGGTGATTTTGGAGCCGGAAGCAAAAAAACCGAACACAAATACAACTTTGCCAACAAAATCCACATACATGCACAGTAAGTCTGATCAATTAGTTTTTATGGGTCTTTGATGAGTCACTTTTTTGTATGTAGAGTTTTTAAAAATCAACCAAACTTTACTATTTATTAATTAGCATTTTTCCCTATTTCAACATCTCGGTGATTTTTCTGTTACAAATATTTAAGAATTTCTGTAAGACATAACTCAGAACTATTTAGTTTTTGTGATGATTCAATTTATCGCAGAATGGTTATTCAAAAAAGCCTTATTTAGTTACTCGGGATGACGTCGAGACAAAAAAACTACCTATCGTCAAATTTCATATATGAAGTCTATGAAAAAATGCCCATCATGGAAGTTTTCATTTAAAAAAATTTTAGGACAAGCGTTTTTTCAACCGAAATTAGTTTTTCGATGATTATCCTTTTTTGGTTTAAAACTCAAACAAAACAAAATTGGCGGCAGTTTGGTTACATGAGAGCATTATCTGTAATCAGATTAAGACTCAAACAAAAGAAATTGGCGGCAGTTTTGGTTAAATTGAAAGCAAATTTGAGTTGAAAAGAAAGTTTTTTATAAAAAACTGCTTGTAGTACAATTTCAGAGTATGGATAAATTGTTTATCATACACTTTTATTGTACAAAAATTTGTTTTTGTTATTTTTCTAAATTCACAAGTGATGAAAAGTAAGGCAAAAACTTGTTATTTAATTCCAAAAAATTCTCATAATAAAATTTTTCATAGGATGGAAAAAATGCTTATCAACTATTTTCATATTATTTTGTTTTTGTTTATGAAAAAATTTGGTTTCGTTTCTTAGGATGGAAAAATGCTTATCATGCTAATTTCTTATTATTTTGTTTTGGTTATGAAAAAGTATGAAATATAATGAGGAGCATTTTTTTCATAGTAAACTGTATGATAGGTTTTTTTCAACCCTTGTATAGATTATCAGGCTCTTTTTCCTTTCCCCCTCCACCTCAAACGAGCATCAGTTTTGAATTGGATCGAGTGGTTTTACCAGGTTAATAAAGAAGACCAAATGTGTTTGCTACGGCCTAATCAGGCTATATGCCAATTTTAGTACAATGGAATAATGAGAACAGAATTTTTATTGTAAAATTTTGCACGTGGGGGAAGGAAAAAGAGCCGTTTATTGGATACAAAGAAGAATGTTTTTAATTATATTTGTTTCTCATTCAGGTTTGACAAAACACATCTTCGAAGTGATATTGCTTTAGTACAAGTCAGACACCCTTTTCACATGAAAAAAATTACTCCTCTTTGCCACAAAAAGGCCAAGTTCCGAACCCTATTCGGCACTTGTGGTCTCGGGCGAATCTCAACCGACAATCGCGCTCCAGACTACCTTATGGAAACGTATTTCAGGGAAAACTTTTTCTGGCGCTTCGTTGGTTGGTTTACGGGAAAATCCGATACCCTACAAGCGAAACGGATTTTCAATGACAATGCGATATGTCATGGAGATAGCGGATCACCCTTGTATGTACTGAATGGGTTGTATAGGGAACCTCAGTGTGTCTATGGAGTGACCAGTTACCTCAGACCCGACTACTTCGGTCAACCTGATTGTCAAGGAAGGAGTTTTTTCACCAATGTTGTGTTTTTTCGCCATTGGATTGAAACGGTTATTGCAAACAATTCAACTGAAAGTATGCTTGTTATACTGCACAAGTACTAGTGTTTTAATTTTGTTTCAACTTATCTATAGTAATTTAACAGTTTTTTTCAAGTGCCACTTTATTTCTCATCCAAAAAAAATTCATGCGGTATTTTGCATGGAAAAAAATGTGAAAATTTGTTCTTTTCCTCACAAAAAATCTATCATGTTTATAGCCGAACTGTAGCAGCTCTGATTCGTCGAAAAAAAAACGGAATACTGTTTTTTCGGCAGAGAGCTGAAAGAGTTAACTGTCTAGATTGGAACCGTGGCTCGCTATTCACATTTATGTATGCTACCTCTATCGCGCCACTTTTGCGTATCATAGAATATCAAATTTGATAAAAAAGAACAAAATTTCGAAAGATTTATCTGTGAGCTTACGCTGAACCTACGAGCAATTGAACGAGATTTTTATTCTTTTTTGGCGTTTTCTCTAGCATTACAAGGCTGGTTTAATTTCGTCCTCTTCACTTTTGTTCTCTCCACTTTTTGTATAATATCGGCCCAATTTGAGATATACGCGTTTAATTTTTCCGATATTTTTCGTTGTGTCCGGTTAATTTAAACAAGCACTGTATCAGAGTGCTGATTCAAAATATCCCGGAAAAAACGCTTAAAATTTGAAATTTAAAACGCATTTTTCTCAATTCGGGTTGGTTTTAGACAAAAATTGACGATGACCAAACTTGCTTAGAGTTTAGTCAGAACTCACATGCTGTAGCTAGTTTTTTGAAATTCGAGTCCGAAATATTACCCCCAAAAATATATTACTTTTGGCTTTCTAGTCATGCAAAAACTATGCTAAAACTACCGGGTCATTTACTGACAAAAATATATCTAAATAGGCCTCTTATAGAACCCAACAAGACTTAAGGAGGGTATAATCTCCAAGAAAACCTGTAAGTTTTTTTGTTTTTGTTTGATATACCGAAACTTCATTTTTAATAGAAAATACCAAGTTGTATTTGAAAAAACTTTTTAAATGTTTTACTCCAATTTTTAGGAAAATACGTTTTTGAAACTTGTTCGGCTCTTTAAGAGGCCCATTCATTTTCATATAAATTTGAACTGGCGTGCCTTTTTGGCTCTATATGATGCTCATTTTAATATAAATTTGAACTAAAAAAGGCCAAAAAAAAAACATTTTGGGCCAGCAAATTTTCGGGCCCGTACTTCAAAAAAAGCCATATGAAATCTGCTTAGTTCCTAAGCAAATTTTGTCACCATTTTTTGTATAATATCAACACAATTTAAGAGAGACGCGTTTAAAAATTAAAGTGCTGATTTAAATTAACCGGACACAAACAAAATTGGAAAAATTAAAGCATTTGGGTTGAAATAAAGCAAAAATGAAGAGAACAAAAGTTGCTTTCAATTTCACTAGAACAAAAATGATGCAGTTGTTTTTTCGAAAATCTTAACCAAAACCCAATGCCAAAAATCAAGAAATATGCTAAAAATACATACTTAATTGAATAGATTGTTACATCAAAAGAAGCTTCTTACACAATCCAACAAAGTTCTAGAAAAAAGTAATTTCCCAAAAATCTGTTTAAAAGAATATCTATTCGGTAAGTTTCTAAGCACTTTTTGCTCACTTCACTTTTTGTGTAATTTTAACTAACTTGATAAAAACGCGTTATAAATTTCAAACTTAAATCGATAATCCGAATAACTTGAATCAACATTGTATAGGGTTTAAATTTTGATACCAGGTAAATGAAACTATTTGAAAAAAAATAGTCTGATCAATTTTGTGAATTTTGATTTTGAAGGCTTAAAACAGTCAATATATCAAAACTTATTTCAGAGGTGTACTTGCTAAAAAAACATCCTCGCAAAAATTACAAAAAAAAAATTCTAAGTTATAACTAATATTTTGAAAACTAATGAGCTTGACTTAGTCTTAAAGCTAAGGAAAATGACAGACTGAAAAAATTAAAAGTTTGCTTGTTCAGGCGTAAAAAGAACCGCTATCTTTTAATGAGTAACTTTGCAAAAATAATCCAAATAAGACAACAAAGGAACTTTCAATAAACAAATGCTTCGAAGCAGGAATTAATCTACATTTTTTTCAGTATAACAGCGAGTTTTGTAAAACTTGTAGACATATTTTGACTCGAACAGTTTAAATTTCCTCTGAAAACACTTTAAAGACTTTTATCGTAATTTGTTTAGAAATCGCTTAAAATAATTTTAATAAACAAAAGCTTCGAAGCAGGAACTGATCTACCTTTTTCTTTAGGGTGAGCGGCGAATTTTGTAAACTTTTTGGCATATTTTGACTCAAACAATTTAATTTTCCTCTAAAAACACTTAAGAGACTTTATCGTATTTTGTTTAAAAACGTTTTTTCCAGCTCTAGATCCTTCCATTAGCTTATGTTGTCGGGAGAACGTGCTACGAGACCTCTTGCCAGCCTGTATCAACCCCTATCAAGAGGGCGTGTAAAATTTTTATTGGTAGCTTACAGTTTAATTCTTGACTGATGCCGTTGGTTTTCTACTAATTTTAAAACAATTTCCTCCTTTAATTCGAATTTTGTAGAGTATATAGAGTTCAACCTTGATAAGAAGATATCTTTTTGCACATTTAACAGCATTAATTGTTGAACATCAAAATTTTATAGGGAAAAAATGTACTTTTTTAAAGCAAAGAACATGGAGTTTCATCACATGAAAATTTAAAATTTCTGACTAACTCGAAATTCCATTTTTTAACTTTCAACTCCTTTTTTCGTTATGTCAAAGACTTCTCTAAAAAGAAAAAGAAAATTAGAACAGACAAAATAAGAAAGTACTCCAAACTGACCAAGAATTGACCTCCAAAGAATTTTATTGCTCCAAACTGACCAAGAAAAAAGATTTGATTTTTATTGTTTGTTCTTCTAGTCCAAAGCTTTCGAAACAAAAAAAAGGCTCTCAAAATGTTTATAATCAATTCAAATAGACTTTTTTTTAGTTTGAGAGGGGTTCAGTTTTTTATCTAGAAAATTCAATGCAAAAATTAGATACTTTTTTGGTAGTTTTCTTGTATCTATATCTAAATACTTGCAAAGTGAAGATAGTAGAGTCTATAGTTCGTTTTTAAGTTCTGGTGAGCTTTCCACTTCAATATCTCTATCTGGAATTTTTTTCTCATCTTGTCCCTTTTTTGGTGGGGATGGTGTACAGTCAATCCACCTAAAACAGGAAATTATTGAGTTTGTTGTAATGGTCCGGTATGAGATAAGTAACTTCAAATTTTCAAAAAAAAAACGTTTTAAAAACCAAACTTTGTTTCTCTAATTTAGTCAAACCCTAATACTTTTGTTCTGGCACATCTTCATTTAGAGAAACCGCACCAAAAATTTATAAGAACTTTGTTTTTTAATCCATGATAACAATTTTCATATTCATCGTTCAGAAGAAAATCTCTGAATTAAAACAAAGTCGCTTAGAAGAAAGTCACTGAATATATATTCTTGAGGGTGTTTGCAAATTCATATACCTCGACTAGTTTGTGCGTGCTTTTTAGATTATATCTATGATGCTTAAGAAAATTAAAACAACCGTTCGTATCATGGCAAGTTCTTGGATGCTCCGACTGCCTTTCCTGGTATATAGAGCAGTATTATCAAGCAAAAAATTAATTGTAAAAAAAATGAAATAATTTTTTTTAATTGAGATGTTTGTAAATTCATCGCCCCACATCCCATATAAAGTACAGAAAGTGATATATCTTGCTCCTAGTAACAAATCAATTCTGGCAAATAAACTTCCTTCAACCAATTTGGAACGATTTCTAGGACGGATTAAATCTCCGCTTACGCGCTTATAGCTCGAAATATACCGCGCGTTAATTGTCCAAATTAGCTAATTCGGCAATCTTCAAACACCCATAATTTTACTAAATAGATCACAGGTGAAATAATTTTTTAAAATTAAGCTCAAAACAACAAAATCGTTTGAATGATACAAAAATTAAAAATTCCGTTAAAAATGGCTAGTTAGAAAGTCTAAATTTGTCTGAAGCAAAAAAATCCATAAACACAAACGTTCCGTTACTTTTGTTACGAAAGTAGAAATAAAAATTAAGAAAAACAAGACTGCTCGTATATCAGGGCAAAATCTTGAATGTTCCGACTGTCCCCTTATTCAAATCGAATAGTTTTTTGGGTAAAGAAAATATTGAAAAACTATAATTTTTGGACAATATTCAAGTGTATAATTTTGAGTCGTACAAAATTAATACGACCAATAATTTAGCTCAATTCAATCTGGAACGAATTTTTTCTGCGGGATAATTCACCTCGCATAATTCATTCGCGTTACGCTCTCAGCATCATGAATAAACTCTTCAAAGCGAGCATAATTTAGTCAAGATCATGGCGGCCAATTTGGCAATTTTCAAATCCCCAGAACTTAACAAAAAAAATTGGAGGTAAAATATCTCTCTTTTTTTAATTCGAACTCAGGAAATCGATATCTTCAATGGGGTATAAAAAGTTTTGTTGAAAACTATTGCTTTGATTGGCGAAAGTTGACTGAAGAAAAAAAACCACATTGAGCACAAATATTCCGTTTTCTTTTAAAGTCGCAACAACAATTGCTCGTCAATTAATCATGCCCTGAAACCATTTCAAATTCAATTGAGGCTTGTATATTGGACATGATAGCTCTACATGAGACTCAAATTACGTTGTTAAAATTGATATATGTGCGTTTGGGTGAGTGGAAATGAGTAAAATTTGAGTTTGAAAATTTGTTGCTTATTATTAATAAATAGTTTTAGCAAAAAATTTTTGGGGTCCGTTTAAGTGCAATATCATCATTCAGGGCTTTGCTCCAATGCGAGAAAAATATTTTTAGCCCGGGGTGGCTAAAAATTGCTTTCTTAGGAATTTTATGAAAAAACAGTCCAATTAAAAAAATTAACACATTTCTTATCAAAACATTGCTAAAATTGTTGGGCATCAGTTTTTTGGCTAAAAAAACTGGTTTTACTTTTTTGAATAAAAAGTAAAAACTTTAAAAGAAGTTATAAGATAGGCAGTTTTTTTGTATGTTGGTCAATCCAGGATCCAGGGTTTATATTTGTTCTCATTGTTCTCATAAACCAAAACCAAAACAATTTAAAAAGTAATCATTGCTAAAACAATAGCAAAAAACGTCCTTAATCACGAGAAAAATTATGAAAAACAAAATTGCTCCGTCAAGACTGCTCCAATAGTTCCGATATCAGTGTTAAAAAAGTTTATCTTAAATATTACGAGTGGAAACGAGATATGAAATTAATTTTGCCGGCAAAATGAGCAGTTTAAATTTTGGTATTACTATTGATGAAATGAATTGAGACTAACCTGGAGTCTCGTATGTGGTTCATTTTGATTGGTCCATCAAATATCTTCACTTCAAATCGGCCACTACTTGCTTCTTCAAACTCAATCTCGCACTGCTGTAAGAAGCCTATAATCCACTCGCCCGCTTCGTCGTGGATGCTCTCGATGTGTTTGCATTTTCGGTCCACATTTTTGTTACGAAAATAAGTGGATACAACCTGCAACAACGTTTTTAGATCTCCTATCTGATACTTGCAGGTTGAGAATTTCCGGCCACTTTTCTGGAATTCATTATTTTAACCTACCGCCACTAAACTTTCGTCAATTGTAACTAATTTAGGACACCCATTTTGACCAAGCATCCAAAAAACCTTAGTTATAAGGTTATTTTGTTCTCAAAATAATGGCTGTGGAGCAAAAAATTATAAATACTTTGATTCTGTGTATGTCAGGAGTCCTACATCAAGGAGTGCCATAATAGGCAGAAAAAAGAAACAACCCCCCCTTCCAACCCTTCATTCCACCTGAATATGTAAAAAGAGCAATTAAAACCAATTAAGAGTTTTGGTTAATACCTGTTGGTATCCGAGTTGTTTGAACTTGACCGTGAACTTATTTTCCTCGGGGTAGCAGTCATAGTACATCACAGTCAGCTCCGAAACATCAGGTGCTCTCTGACTGAAAGCTAATTTACACGCCACACTAAGAGTCGTGATGAAAAGACACGTAGCTATAAACACATTCATCCCAAGGCCTTCTCGAAACGAAAATGTAAAACTGAAACTCAACCCAAAATGCTGATGTGGTTTTAACGATAGCTTGCTAACTTTAGACGTTCACCAGAATTTGAAAGTTCGAATCGTAACACTATAACGAGAGTTCATCTTATTGTTGTTTATTTGCTGACCACGAATCGCGCCACAGTCGATGAAATGTATCTACAAAATTCATTGCTTGATTTTAGCGATTCAAAATCTCTGATAATCTTGCCCATGATCATAATTATAACCCACTGCAAAATATATGTACCTAGTGCTCTATGTATTTATGTAGGCAGCGTCTAAATGGTTCATTTTGTGACAAGGTTTTACAAAGCCATGGTAAGCATAACAGTGGCCGGAAGTCGTACAATTAGCTTCAAAGTGTACCGACCACAGCAATCATTTAGAAATCAATATTAAAAAAGTCTTTTTGAAAAACTATTTGCGATTTTGTAGAAGGAGGACGGGGGAGATCCTGAACTTCAAGAAACCTGCATGTAACTTGAGTGAAAAAAATTACCTGTGCCTGATTTCTGTTGTCTATAATAATGCCAAAGTAATAAAGTCACAAGTCACCTTCAAACAAGGAAAAGGATTATAAATCAATTTTAATCCAATAAATTTTAATTTTTTCTTTCGCATCCTGCGACCATTTGCAACAGTTTCTGCATAAATCACGTAAGTAATGAAAAAATTTGCAAATTGTTTCGAAAACGTTTGGTGACCATACGACCTTCTCGAATTCTGAACCTATTCTTAAGCGTATTGCAGTCTCATCATCATAAAAAATTTTATGAAACTAATCACTCCATGCTAAACATAGTCAACAGACAGTTGGAAAAAATCAATGAACGCGAAGAAAAAAGCTGTTGTCTTTTTTGAAAAATTTCAACTTTCAAAATTTAAAACAAAAAATAGATGGATTTAAAGTTTTGTCATTTTTAAGAACTGAAAAGTGTTTATCATTGACATTTTTTTCATAAAATAAGTTCAATTTGAGAACGCAGGACCAATAGGTATTTTATTCCGCTGGGAAAACTGAGAAAAAATTCCACTTTCGAAATACGAAATCGCTTACAATTTTTTAGCGAATTCCATTTTTGTAATTGGAGAGTGTAGTTTACCTAACTTTTAGCACATTTGATTTTAACGCAAAAATGCATTTAAACCTAACATGATTGAATGCATCTCTGTAGTTTATAAGGGAATTTAAGATTTTTTCCGCCATTTCTTACCATGTCTCATATAAGAGTCGACACTACGTTCAAATATTTTTTAAAATGAGTCTGAAAACAAAAAAGTATATATAACACTTTTATAAGTTTTCTTGCTACTGGGAGTGCATGTGAATTATTTTTCAGCTCAGATCGTGGCCGATAAGACTTAATATGGTAGCACGCTTGACCCCTATGAGCTGTCTTTGAGAAAGTAAAAATCGCTAAAAAGTTGTTAAAAAACCGCTAGATTTTTGTCTTCCACCACATAAAAATCCTTTTTATTCGCCAGCTGTGATTATGATTGATTTTGAAAGTTATGACCAAAAAATAATTTTGAAACTTCTTACCAGCTATTATGTGTTTTGGAGTACTTGGACTTTTCTGAAACAAATATAACGGATTTAGGGTTCACCTTTGATACTATTGATTATAAAATGGTTAAAATTTGCACGGTTTGATGATCAAAACATACCAAAAGCTGTCTGAAACTGACGTTTTTGGCCTGGTATTTCACATATTGACCTACGAAGTGAAAAAATTGACCTACTGTGTTTCGGGAGTTAAAGCAAAGATTTTTTGCTAGTTAACTTTTTCAACAACGACGCGCCTGATCCTTTTCCAGATTCTTTTTTACCCATGCTATTCTCCATTGTGCTTTAGGAATGATCAAAATATATATATATATATATATATATATATATTATTAAAAAACACAACAATTAGCAGCTATAGTAACACTAATAGCACTGATTTTACAACATTCACGCTCAGCAACTTATATAATTTTAATAATTTCAGTTTTTGAGTCAGATACCAACAAAGATTTGTTTAGTTCGTTTTGTGATAATGCCAATAAGGCCGCCTGTCGCGTGCCATCTTCGTACGAATTTTTTTTTTTTTAATATGTTAGATGAAAAAAAACCATCAAAGTCACAAAACAGAAAAAAAAACAAATGAAAAATTAGAAAAAACTTTCAATCGTTTTCGAGCGAGTTTCAGAATTAACCAAAACAACTAAAGCTCAATTCAAGCGAGCACGATGGACACACATTTTTCAAGTTGGAAACTCTTGAATTTTTTCTATAACTTATACTTAGAATATGGAAAAAAAACATGACAGTCTTCATACTGTGCGAGATTTGACCAGTTTTAAAAGCGGTTTCCTGTACAATTTATATGCTAGCAGATTGTTTTTGGTCGAATATACTCGTCAGTCGAACACGGTCGAAAAGTTTCCAGGGTCGATAACGGTCAAAAAGTTTTCCTCGGTCGAGCATGCTCGAAACATAGACGTCTTGGGTCAAGACAGTGGAAATACTATTTTTGGTCGAGTCGGTCGAAACATATATTGCAAATACCATTGCATCGGAACAGCAAGACAATACAGCTAGAGACATTATTCTCAAGTCATTTTGTTAATTTTGAAGATCATCGTTGTTGAATGAAGTAGTTGAATTACAAACTGTTAAGGTCTGAGTTGACAATTTCGTGAAACCTTTCTGACGCATCATTCCAAAGAGAAACAAACGGCACACCATTCAAATCATTATTCTCCAACAATGAATCTTTTTCACCGGCGGAGGGAAAACTGCCCTATAACATATATAACAAAACATTTTGAGGAAGACAGCTAGCCAAATTGTATCTTCTACGACATCAAATGAATTAGCTCAAATCATCTGAGTTTCTACTTGGTTGCCGTATAGAATACCCGATCTATGAATACCATCCTAACATTAACCGCAACTTCCGGGGTAAATGAAAGCTTTGCAACCAAAATTATTGACGTAATCACGCACTTCCAACGCATAATGCGTCATTTGTATGCGGCAGTCAGCAAGCAGCTTACTTCGACACTCACCCGCACCACAGTTGAAATTTGCCCGGCTTCTTGTTGCATTGAATCACCAAAAATTTTAATCTAAAACTCATAACACGACCTGAAAGGATGAAGAATGAACCCATATTGAAACTGTTGTCAGCATTTTTTGACTAGAGTTAAACGAATGAGCCTACATTTTGCGCTATTTGTCCCCTAGTTATGTCGGAAAAAGAACCCAGGAGATCTTAACTTTTAGAACCCAGATAATCAATTTTTTCATATCCTTTTGAGGAAACTTGGAGACGCAAGTAATGCTCATTCTTACCCTATGTTAAAAAAAAGAGTAGGGTGTCATAGTGCTAAATTAGTCATCTGAGTTATTATTTAGTTCATGGTAGTTTCTCTTGTCAATCAATTCAGTGCTTCTAGTGCTAGACATCATTGACAAGTATTTGGCCTTCGGAGTGTTTGACACCTTCGGATGATCTCTGAAACACTATCTTTGTGATCTATGATTTAGTTGAGTTGTTTAAAGAAGGAATTTAATTCAAATATCAAATTAGCATCTCCAACATGGCGCAGCAAGCAGGCCCAAGTGGGGGGGGGGGGGCGGAAAACCCACTTGGAATTACATCCTTTTGGCCGTCTAAGTATGTAGAACCCCAATGTTATGGGAATTCTGGTTAAATCGCTTCCAGTGGGGAATGGTTGCGAAGCATTCTATAAACCCGAAAAATTTCTACTTCGCTAGTACGCAAATAGCTGCGTTGCCGGAAAACGTTGATGGAAAAAACTGGCTAGAGGCGGAGCAAACTCTAATTTCGAAATTATACCTTTGCTTGGGGGAGAAAGGACAGGAGGAGTTTCACAAATGTAAGCCACATCTGGATTTGAGGGCTTCACGCTATCCAAGGGTGCTCGATGCGATGGAGGGGGAGTTCAAGAAGGAGCGAAATGAAACATATGAAGTCGGTGGGAGCCATTCAAGGTGGATACCGGAACAACCGGGGGAGAGGACGTGGTCAAACTCAAGGCCGAGGGGGTATGAACACTTGAAAGTTCTGGTCTACGACTGTGCTACCAATCGATAAAAAACATTAAATCTTATTCTATTCGTACCTTGAGGTCATTCGGCCCAAGTTCGGTCAACTTTTATCAATTGGGGCTAATTTTAATTGTGTTGTTTCAGCCTATTTTTCGAAAAATGAGCACATTAATGAAATATTCATTTGCCACAAAAATAGCCATATCGTCTTTGAAATGCAGAGTGAGTCAACAGTACTCTACATTCATCATAAAATTAATGAGAACAACAGAAACACTCGGAAAACTTTTACTCAACATTAAGAGTCATTTTTCAAATACAGCTCAGGAAATTAAAGCACCAATCAGTCGGTCTTAATGGGACTCCATCCCGATTGTTTTTTTCTAAAGCAGTGAAAATTGCGCATAGATACCGCACAAGGCTATGGTAGTCCTCAAACTCTTATGGAGAGGTCAGAACAAAACGATTAGTTCATTGATATGTGCCGTTCTCAAACTATCCTCCAAAAACCCGCAAAAGCTTCTAAACTGGAGAGAAATTGTAAATCGATAAATGAACTCAACTTTTTGTTTCTTTTTCTATTTTCTATCTAACTTTTTTAACACCTACTTCATTGACAAATTTGTAGATGCAAAAACGTGGGTCACAACTAATTTTAAAGTGAATGTTTTAAATTTGGATGTTTTGGTGTGTGGGGGGGGGGGATTTCAAAAGAAGGTTAAATATTCCTCCATATTTTAAATTTAGAGGCATATTTTCTCCAAACATTGAACCTGGCGTAGAGAGCTTTTTCATGATTTTCTAGATATCTAGGGAATTCAATTAAGATGACTTACGAAATTCATTTCAAGTTGAAAGCTTTAAAACCTTCCTTCAACCTGCAATCTGAGTCAAACACTCAAACACTCAAACACTCTGGGAATTGAACCATAAATCCGAAATTATAATTCAAAAAACAAGCTTCAGTGAAAGTTTTACCAGAGTTTAGATAATGTTTTCGATATTTTTTGTCCAAGATATCAAGTTTCAGCTCCTTTGCAAGGCATATTGCGTGCACTTTGATATTGTAAAAGATCGTGATAACCTTGGTGCCTGATTGTTTTGAGTAACCAAGTTCTTTGTCACTTGAGTTCCCTTGCGAATAAAGCCCAAAAATCGTAAAATTTTTGGTTTTTTGATATAATGCTGGCTTTACATACAGTTTCAGAAAAAATACATTTTAAAGACATTTCATTTAATTTTCTGTGTTTATTAAGGAGTCGTCTTATGTAAATTTTATAATAAGCAATTTTCCATATGCGGAAATTGTATTACTCTTTTTTTTGGGTTAGCACACTTTTATGAAAGATGCAAAACAATAAACAATGTCTTAATCATGAATTTGGCTTGCAACGCGCAGTAGTGGTCCGTATGAAAACTACAAATAATCACCTTTTACGGATTGGTGGCCAGTTTTAAAGAGACATGTTTTTCATGCTCTTCTTTTTCCAGAACTTCTTTAGAGCACCACTTTTCAAATAAGTGCTTAAAATTTTCAAAAAACTCGTAAACGGTTATGGCTTCTTTGAACAATTTTCTCATATCAATGAACCAAATCTCATTGAACCAAAGATAAACAAGTACTGACTCGATGACTTGCTTAGATTAAGTATACCATATTAAATGTTTTAGCTTAAGCGTATAAGAATGAAGTTACATCATATTTTCATTCTGGATTAAATCAGTAGTTAAACCATCGATTTAAAATCAGAGAAGAAAAATAAAACAAACATTTAGTTAATTATTCAACTCATCCGGTTGATAGCCTCAAAATTACGTTTTATGAGATTTTTGTTTATTTCAGACATGAAATAAATCGAATACATACACTATCACTTACATTGAGCATTCGTTTGAAATTGCCACAATGAGCAGAAAGATTTTGTCACTACCCGTGTTGAAAGAAGAGGACGAAGACGAAAATGAAGAAGTTGAAACAAAAACGGAAACAGTAGAAAATTTGGGAATGGAAGACGTCGCTATTGTAGAATACGACGACATGGGGCGGCTTTTCATTCACAAAAGAAACCAAAAAGTCCAGTTCAGGTACTTCCAAAAGGGCGTGCAGATTTTTTTATTTTATTTTTTTTATTTTCATTTTCAATTTCATTTTTCAAATTCCAGTAAAATTTCATAGTTTCATAAACATTTTCGGTGAAAATTTCAGAAACCCCGCTAAATCATTTTCTACGGAATCCTCAAGAACTTTTTGACAAATCTTCAACGAAGTTCCTTCATAAAGGGTATCAATCATTTTGCCCCAATATGCCTGCAGGGGAAGGGGGGACCCGCTTTTTCTATCAAAAATATTCTATCAAAAATTTTTCCCCATTTTTTTCTGAATATTATTTCACAGATCTATATTTCAATGCTATATTGTCGCATTTTGAAACCAAAGAACAACTAAATTCAAGCAAACAGCGTTTTTTATGTAATTTAGTATGTCTAAAAAATGGGTATCACTTATACTTAATGTTTGAGTAAGTTTTTTGTCCTTTCTTGAAGTTATAAAAGAACTAAACATTGATTTGCACGCACCTTAAACAGAACATTCAAGTTAGTCAAGGGTGCTTTGATGACATTGTTCATGTGGTGTTTCGTCATCACAGCAATAGTCATTCTCGTTGCTGTATCACAGGATAACCTTGCTAATTACAAGAGAGCAAATCAAATCACTCAAATTATGAAAGTTGACAACTCCTTTGACACCCTTCTGGAAGATGCAATACGTTAAAAATGTTCTGATCGCAATAAGAGAAAGAAAAACAAAAACAAAGAATTAAAAACTGGACAAATTTTTTCATGTTTATTAAAAATAGAGTTATCTTAAGATTATTGCTATTCTGTATTTTTTACGATTATGCTTGAGGTTTTCTGTTTGTTTCTTATCACTCAAATAAATATACACTAAAAATTGTATTATTAGAAAAAGTCTTATTGTTCGTCTATAAGACTAATTCACTAAGCGATATCAGCCTTGTTCATTGTCAAGTATGGTAATTCACAAGAGTCATTCATTCATACATAACAAGCGTCTTCATTCATAGTCGAAAACTGCCGGGCGCTCAATCACTCGACCGACCACATCACGATGCCAAGCACGGGTACTTTGGAAGTGGTTTGGATTCCGCATAAATTAACCCCGGAATCCGCTAATTTGTGTTTCACTCCCCAAAATTTCGAAACAAATCTGGAGTCGGAAATCTGATGGAATCGAAAAACAAATGTTGTCCAAGCACTAGGCGCAAAAACTGAAATTTAGCTGGCGAGCAAAAATTTAGAATCCAGTGTGATACAGATTTTGGAGATAAGTGCTAAGAAATATCTTGTTTTGGATTCCCCAGACTAATGCGTTTTTGCAATTGAAATAAAGTGAAGCAAAATGTCGGTGGATTCCACTGTTTGCCAGTGAATTCCGCTATTCATTTGCTCTTTTTATTGCTGGATTCCACGACTCGAGGTATCCCCTCCAAATTCAAATGCAGTTCTCTCCAATTGCATTTTTAAATCACAACTTACATCAGCGAAAAGTAAGCCCCTAATAATTTTTCCGCGAATGACACAAGTCCCTCCAGTTTGTCTTCCCACTTGTTTCGCAAGTGCAACAAGTCTCTTGCTGTTACTCCATCTTTTTTGAGCATCTAAGATAAGTACAATCAAAGTTGAGCAGCAAAAAATCATCCCCTCAAAAGGAAAATTATGCGAAAACCAATTAAATAAAATACCATGAAAATTTAGAAGGTTAAGAGAATCAAGGTTCAAATTTTGACTCAATGGGTTTGCACACTTGGTTATGCCATTTAAAGAATATGGCTTTTCTATAAGTAGAGCTACAAATGAGAGGTTCAGGTCTGGCTCACACTCAGTGTTTCCTGAACTAATGCATTCAAAGCCGCAACCTTGTCTCCACCGCCCGAGTATCTGAGTGCCCCTGATTTGAGGTCTATCATTAATACAGTGCTATCATTAAATGGTTCAAATGTAATTTTAGTTTCAGTTTCAAACAGCCAGCCAACTAGTCGTTTTGTTTGTTTTGGGTTTTTTGGGTGTCACGTCTCAATAGGTACATCGGGCTGCCAGCTCGTCTTCCCCGAGATTTACGAGGAGCTGCAAGGGTCCTCTGAGGCTTTGGCTGGAAACGAAACATACTGTGGGGGCCATTTTAAGAAGAGTTATTTTCCTCGTTGACTGGTGTGCTGCTAGACGTGCTGATGGGTTGAATTGAACCCAAAGTTATCCCAGGCAGTTTGTCCCTCAGGGCGTGTCGCATCTCTGGGGAGAATGTCGCCTCCAACAAGTATCCTTCGAACCTTGTTCGATTGTCATTGTGCCATGTTGCGGGGTTCCCAGTTGCGGTTTTCCCGTAGATATTGTTAGGCTCCTGTTGTACCCTCTCCTAGGCGACGGGTTCAAACATGAATTACCGAAAGTTCGTTAGCACTTGATCCATAAATCATGCTTGCTATGGTTAACAGTGAAATTCTTTTTTCGTCTAAGCAATCAAAAATGTTTAACTAAATGTTACTTTTTTAATTTGCAGAAATGGGTGATTAGATTTGTTGACTTCCCTTATGACAAAAAAAACTATTGTTTTGTACAATTTTAACACAACTGAATTTTAGCAGTGTTACCATTTGACCTGAAAAACTTGCTTATGTGGATTGGACAAACGTTGTAGCATTTAGGACAACTTCCCCTATGTTTTATAATAAAACTTGAAATGAAAATAACCAACTTACAAAAGGTAACTATATAAGCAGAGGAGACAATTTTTTTAGACTTTCATTTCAGCATTAGAGACAATTCCTCCTCAGAATTGTTAATTAATAGTTTTATTACAGAAAACTTAAGGGTTTTTCAAGAAAAAAAAGGAAATTGAGAGATTTGACAGAGATTTTCTTCTTCTACTATCTGAATTTGACAGAGCCTGAATTGTGAGCCATATGTCAAGAGTTTAACGAAGATAAAAATTGTTTTTTTTTTAGTTTATTTTGAGAAAATTCCAGCTTCGAATATTTTTTAATTCAAAATAAAATGTAGAAATATGGTTTGACTGAATAGTTTTGGAAGGAAGTTGTCCCAAAAATTGAAAAAATTTTGATGGCAGGGTGGAAATTGTCTCAAACGCTGAAGTTTTTAACTCTCGTGAAAATACTGCGCAGATTGGCTCTGCAATTTTGCAAGTGGGGCTACAATGCAAGGTGACTCACCTTGAATTCGATGGAGTAGAAAAAGTTTTCCTACTAGTTTTTTCATTGGATGATACATCCAGAAAAATGAATACCCAGAAAAAAGTGATACGCCATGATTGCCGGGACAATGAAATCTAAAGTTAGGTAAGGTCTCCAGTACTGGAGTTCCATTTTCTGGTCGGACACGGTACCTGTTACCAGCATTTTCAGGTGGTGAACAGGCTTTTCAAAACGGTCCGTTTCACAGAACACACAGATTTTATTTTCCGAAGAATTTGCTGCAAAACAAAGTTACTGCATGTGAAGTTCGATACGCCAGTGAGAGTAGTTAACGAGATGGATATATCAGTCATGGCTACTTCTCCTGTAATCAGAACCTAAAATCTGTTAAAAAAAATTTGCAATTATGATTTGTACTAATTGGAACCTGATCTAAACTACATTTTATGATTGGATAAATTAGATATTTTACCAATGTAAAGTATTTAATATTAACCAATCATGATCCATCTGACTAACAATCCACTTATTTGTAAGTGCTGAAATTACTTGTAATTTCAGCACCAGAGAGATTTGAATTTAACTTAGAAATTAGTTGGACTCTCCAAGAGAACTTCAGCAGCCGCAATAAACCAGTATACCCTAGATCTATTGAGCCTAGCAGAGACTAGTTAAACAACCTGAGACTAGATAGTATAAGAGTAAGATTAGGATCGGTATTAGACTAAGAAGTTGCACGAATCTATCCGGCCGAAAATAAGATAGCGTGACGAGCAGACGGTGTACCCTATCCGAAATTACTCTATGAGTTAACCACCTCGGTCCTAACTCATCTGGTGCGACCATAAGTCTCGAACAAGACCTTAATAGCTTAGAATTAACCAAGATAGATTAGAATTTAGACAAAACATTTTTAAAATGTTACACGACGATAATTTAATCGAAATGTCTCTACGACTCAATAGATCAGAGCCAATATTCCGAACGATAACAGAACTACCCGGAATTGCAAGAAGACCTCGAACCAGAGACGACATACGACAAAATAGAAACTTACCAAATAGCTATATGATAGTACGGCAAAAGCCAACACAAACTTTTATATTTAGAATTTTATTAGCAATGAATTTAGATTTTCATTTGCAAACATAAAATCTTGAAGTCAATCTTCATAATCATTTCAGGCGCTAAAACAAAACTATTAATATACAATAACGATTGATAAAAAGATCTCAGATCGTTTTCCTAAATTCTGCAGTATTATATAAAACATGTTTGGAAAATATTTATTGAAAATTAAAACAAAAATTAGTAGCATGACAATAAACTGTTAGTAATCATAAAATCATCTAAATGTCCCAGCTTCATCACCTAAAACATAACAGCAATCATAAGCTCACTAATATCATTAAAAAACTAAATCTTTTTCTTAAACATATTTAAACCATTTTAAACTTAAATTCACTTAATTTTAAAATCAGATCATCAAGGCTGATCCTTGGATCTTAATTCATTTTCTATTTAATCAAATTTAAAACTTGATCATCAAGGCCTATCCTTGGATCAAAAAGAACAATTTTGTTCTCCCCCACCCACTTAGCTAGTGTCTAACGACCTCAAACGTCGATTCACTATCCAACCCTTTCTAAAAAACCCAAGACTAATAGAAATTTTTGAACAGAACTAATCATTCAAATTAGGATAAACAGTGAAGAACTTCGGTTATTCATCCTTCACTTGATCCCCCCTCTTACCAGACCCAGGATAAATCTTAGACTTAGTAAGTTTAAAATAGTATCTAACGAACTACTCGCGTTCTAATTATACCTGAACCTTGTGGATCGATTTACTATTCTCCAATCCTTGAACACAATCACTACCCCTAAGTAAGATTAAGTAAGTCAACACCTTAGCTTATACTAGCCACGAGAAAGTAAAAAATCATTCTTCGGAATCGATATACTTTTCTCTCCAACCCTGAACAAATAGACCCAGGTTAAGCTAACCAAAAAATCGTAAGGACTAACAGTTTAAGAAAATAGAAATCATTTAACAACTTTCTGCATCCGTCACCCTAAACCTTATGTCATTTAAAAACCTAGGAAACAAACAAACAATCGTATTACACAACTGTGAAATAGATAACAAAAAATACGACCTTGTAATCACACCTCATACACAAACAGTTGGATACATTAGAACAAAACGACAAACACTAAAACGGAAAATAATAACCAAACAAAGACAAATAACACGAAAAAGATTTTCCAAAAACAGAAACCCATTTTCAGAATCAGAAGCTAGCAATTTAGACGAACTTTATAAATTAAAACAATCTATAGATAAAAATTGCCCCATTCACGATCAATTATAATTTTCCGACTCAGAAATAACTTCAAATTCATCAAAAAGAGGAAAAAGAAGAATAAAAAAGCAATATAAACACAAACCAGTACACTTATATAATTGGAATCAACCAATTAGACACATCGATAATTACATATTAACAGTCATTGAACGAAAAAATGAGCTCAACACACACTCCAGGTGAAGAAAGTCCAGATGATGACGATATCTTCCCCTTCCTCGTAGATGCAACCAATGATAGAGGACAGCATATATTTTGCAAGAATTTACTCCTAAATTTGTTTGAACCCGGAATCAGCCCATGTAAAACAGAGTTCCCAGATGTAAAAATCAAAAGACAAATTATTGATCACTATCTGAAAGATATATGTAATTT